GTGAGATCAGGGTAATAGCACAGTCCAGCGCAGTAAAGCCCAGTGAGATCAGGGTAAAAGCACAGTCCAGTGCAGTAAAGCTCAGTGAGATCAGGGTAAAAGCACAGTCCAGTGCAGTAAAGCCCAGTGAGATCAGGGTAAAAGCACAGTACAGCGCAGTAAAGCTCAGTGAGATCAGGGTAAAAGCACAGTACAGGGCAGTAAAGCAGTACGAGTCAGGTGGAGTTCTGTTTTCTGGGTGCCCCGGCATCGTTCATGTTTCAGGGTGATCTGCCCTGTTTGCTGCAGCCGAACAGGGCTGTCAGGTCAGTGTCTGGGAGGGGGCAGTGTGAGTAATGGAAGACGTATTATGGTTAAATATTTCATTTCTCTCCTCCACCCTCTCCCGGATTCTGCAACGAAAAGCCACGGTACCTGCACACGGGCCTGGCCGGCGGGTCTGTGACTCAGCTGGTGGGTCCAGGGGGTTGCGGTGTGCAGATATTACTCCTCAGCTGTTTTTATTCACTTCTCCAGTTGCTCAGGCAAGTGTGAAATTAGAAATCCTGCCACCCCGACGTTCTAACATAGGGAGACCTGCTGTCTGTTCTGACTCCACAACACTCACACGCACGTACGAGCACACACACACAAGCACGCATGCGCATACACACACTCATAGACACAAGCATGAACACACACACTCACACACACATGCAGAGACACACAAACACCACACACAGACGCATGACCACTCATAAATACACACATATGAGCACACACACACACTCATACACAGATGCATCATGAGCACCCACACGCACACGCATGCATGAACACACGCACTCACACAGACGCGCGAGCTCTCACACAATCGCACGTACGAGCACGCACATACAATCACAAGCACTGACACACACATGCCACCCACTCACACACAGTTACAAGAGCACATGTGCTCAAGCACTAACTCACACACACACACGCACAAGAACTCCCACGCACGCGCGCGCGCACACACACACACCCGCTCACAGGACTGGAAGCCTGAAAATCACTCCACACTGGAAACCAGCGAGCGCGGGAAAGACAGAAATGACTTGTCACAGATGTCCAAACGTCAGATGAAGATAAACGCTCCTAGATATGGAGGAATCAGAGCTCCCCACTGTAAATCTTTTTTTTCTGGTGCAACGTGTGTGTCTTTTCCCCCTGATCCAGATAAAATTCCCCCGACCACAGCAGCGGCTGGAGCATCTGCCTCCTCCGCCCTCAGTGAGGTATTCGCTCAGACAACCTTCACCAATCTCAGAGGCAAACGCTCCCACTGGCTTCCACTGCGGCCCAGCGCGGCACAGGGGGACTCCCCGCCTTGTGAGCGCCCCCTCTTGCAAAAACGACTCAGCAGTGCCACACAGGCGGAAGTTCACGGGGAGCACCTTGGGGACTGAAGGCCGGGGGGAGGGGCAGAAAGAAAAGAAAAAAACCCTGCTCTTTACACAAAGAGTGGCGGGTGCCTCCAACGCGATGCCCCAGTGTGGCTGAGGCTGTCAAGCGCAGTCAGGCCGTGCCGAGTTTAACGTGTCCGCGGGGCGGGAACGCTCCCACCAGCGAGGGGCTTGCTCAGGAGGAAGAAGCTGTGCTGTTCCGCAGCGGAGACGCAGTCAGGGATTAGGGATTACAGCCTGCGTGGGTTTCCGACTTGACAGCGCGGGCAAGGAGATTATTGAGCGTGCCCGCATGCCAGCTCAGCGCACAGCAGGATCGGAGACAGCCGGCACCACGGTGCTGTCGGGCACGCCTCCCACTGTGAGCCCAGAGCTCTCCCTGCCAGGGACAGGTGTGTGGAGGGGGTATATCTCCCCATCTTTATCCGT